AATAAAAAGAACATGGAGAACAATTTATCGAATCACAAAGATGATATGAATCAAAAGCTTCTCCTGTACGATTATGAAGCTCAACTTTGCTGATGGTTTGCGTCATCTATCACAATAAACAGAAATTAGATGTTGATTTATTATATTTTTGGCCGATACATTGAAATAAAGATAAATCCTACACTTAATTGATATATATTCCGTTAGATGGTGCAAGCCATCATCATTGTTAAGTTGAAAAACTAGAAAATGTTTTTCTTTCTAATTCTATATTCTTCATTCTTATTTTTTCCACGGATTAATTTTTGTTTAAACCTCACATTTTGACTTTAAAATATATATTCTTCATTCTTTGATCCAGTTTGCTTCTGTCAAATATTTTATTAAGATTAATAAATATATATTGGAAACACAAATGCACACAGAATCTACATTTAGAAAAAAAAACATATCAAATTTTCTATATTTTATATTATATTAAATACAGTAAAACCTTCATAAGACGACACTCACGCAGGAGGACACCTCTCTACAAAGGACAGTTTTCATTTGCAAAATTACCATTTTTACTATTTAGCAACTATCCGGTAAGAGGACACCTCTCCACAAAGGACAGTTTTCATTTGCAAAATTACCATTGTTACTATTTAGTAACTCTCCGGTAAGAGGACACCTCTCTACAAAAGACAGCCTTCATTTGAAAAATTACCATTTTTACTATTTAGTAACTCTCCGGTAAGAAGACACCTCTCTACGAAGGACAGTATTCATTTACAAAATTACCATTTTGCTATTTAGTAACACTCCGGTAAGAAGACACCTCTCCACAAAGGACAGTATTCATTTACAAAATTACCATTTTTACTATTTAGTAACTCTCCGGTAAGAAGACACCTCTCTACAAAGGACAGTTTTCATTTGCAAAATTGCCATTTTTACTATTTAGTAACTCTCTGGTAAGAGGACACCTCTCTCTAAAGGATACTTTGACTCTGCAATTAGGTGTCCTTTACAAGGAGGTTCTATAACATATACAAGATATGTACAATGTATACTTGTAAATAGAATGTTATACTCGTTCAGAGAATCAAATTAAAGGATTAATGATTTCTATAGAAAAAACCACAATCTCAATTCAAATCATTTTTATTTTCTTTGATAATATATTTAGGTGTGCAAATGATATAGACTAAAAATATTACGTAACACTACAATGGAAAATATAAAAATGGCAAATAAAATGGCAAAGTTAATTATTGTGAAAAAATAGTACAAATATGATATTGTACTGGGATAAGGTGCATACTTATGAAAAAAAAAAGGCATAATTCTGGAATAATTAAAAATCAACGAGAATAGTTGATATTTATTCCGATAGATGGCGCAAGTCATCAGCAACTTTCAGTTGCACGATAAGGAGATGCCTTTTTTTCAAAGTTTATCATGCTGATATAAAAGTCAAATAAATAAAAGAGAAATATGTATATAATAAACAAATCAAAAATAATGAAAACTATAATAAAGATTAAGAAAAAGGCATCTACATATCGTACAACTTAAAGTTGCTGATGGCAGGCGCCATCTATCGGAATAAATATCAACTATTCGCTGATTTTTAATTATTCAAGAATTGGCTAAATAACCATTCTTGATTAATCAAGAAAAGCTAACCACGTAAGCGTGGTATTCCGATAGATGGTGCGAGCCATCAGCAACTTTCAGTTGCACGATAAAGAGATGCTTTTTCTTAATGTATTCACCTTATCCCAGTTCAATTTCACATTTGTACTATTTTTTCATATAATAAAGATGTTTAACCATTAATTATTTTTAATTGGACACGATTTTCTTATAAATTTTTATTATATTTTGAAGTTCTTGTTATATTTAAATATATTTTAGGATGGTTAACAATCAAACTGGAATCACAAAAGAGAAGGATTGTTGGAATAACAAAGGCCTTTTGTGTATATCCTTTAAATGGGCGGAACAGAAACTTTGGGAGATAAAGGACAGGCACGATATGTCCTTGGTGTTTTGAACCTTCAATACCTATTTTAGTAGGCTCTGGGTCACCGTTCGGAGGAGATTAATAGAATCGCCGAATGCCGTGGTCCATTTTGACGAGGAAAGCGAAGACTAGAACGCGGCTGATTCCACACTCGCTTGTTCAGTGATACATTAATCTTGACGTATGCACGGTGTGGCCACTGGACATACGTCGGACCTGGA